ATACCCCACCGCAGCTAGCTGCAACTAGCTGCAGCTAGCTATGGCTAGCTAGCTGGTGAGTTAGTATACGCCTTGCTGAAGGCATTTCTGTTCATCCTCCAGCAGCAGACGCAAGCTGCAGCAGCAGCAGCAGTAAGTTGCAGCAGCAGCAGTAAGCTGCAGCAGCAGCAGTAAGATACAGCAGCAGCAGTAAGCTGCAGCAGCAAGCAGCAGCAGCAGCAAGCAGCAGCAGCAGCAAGAGCAGCAGCAGCAAGTATCCCCACACTCACAACAAATATCAGCGAGTTTGCTGCGCTGCTGCAGCAGCCGCCAATCCCCTTGGGGGTAGAAAAGAGACAGCAAGCTGCAGCAGCAGCAGCAGCAGCTGCTGCTGCTGTTGCTGCTGCTGCAGCAGCAGCTGCTGCTGCAGAATCCTGGGGTGTATGTACACCGCAACTCTCAAATAGTCTCTCCCTAAGCAAGCGTGGCACTGGTGCCTCGCATTGTCTCCTATTTTGTTTGTGCTGCTTGCTGCTGCTGCTGCTGCTGCTGCTGCTGCTGCAGCAAGGAGCAGCTAGCTAAGAACAACAGCAACTGTCTCCTGCAGCAGCTTCTGCACCAACACGGAGCAGCCTTTTGCTGCTGAAAGGATGGGCTCCCTATACACCCCAAGGCGGTAGAGGCAGGTGCGCATTGCTGCAGCAGAAGCAGCAGCAACAGCAGCAGCAGCAGCAGAAAACGCAGCAGCAGCACAAACAGCAACAATCCTCACAGCAGCACTTAGAGCAGCACAGCAGCAGCAACAGCACCGTAACAGTGTTCAGCAGCAGCAGCAGCAACAGCAGCAGCAGCAACAGCACCCTAACAGTGTCCAGAAGCAGCAGCAGCAACAGCAACAGCAGCAGCAGCAGCAGCAGCAGCAGCAAAATATAAAAGGAGACAGGGGGGCCCTCACTAAAGGATGCATCGCGCAGCAGAAGAGACAATCGACTGCAGCAAGGGTCCTGCAGTGCTGCTTCTTGCTGCAGGCAAGACAAGGCCTGTGCACAGCAGCAGCAGCAGCAGCAGCAGTAGCAGCAACAGCAGCAGCAGCAACAGCAGCAGCAGCAGCCACTGGCGCTTGCCGCAGGAACACACACCGCCACCTGGGGTAGCGGTAGCAAAACATCTGCTGCAACTGCAGCAGCAACAGCAGAAGCAGCAACAGCAGCAGCAGCAACAGCAGCAGCAGCAACAGCAGCAGCAGCAGCTGTAACAGCAGCAGCAGCAACAGCAGCAGCAGCAGCAAATAGACATACGAGTTCTCTGCTGAGCTGTACAGCCACCTGAGCTCCCACGACGCCAAACCCTGCAGCAACCCAGCAGCAGCAGCAGCAGCAGCAGAATTAGATTCCTGCTACAGCAACAGGTGAAGCAGCAGCAGCAGCAACAGCAACAGCAGCAGCAACAGCAACAGCAGTTTCCACTGGTTGATGCTGCAGTCTGCTGCAGCATCAACCAGTGGTGCTGCTCCTCTCTGCTGCTGCTGCTGTCCATATACTGCAGCAAGGCACACAACAACCCTCATACATAAACGCATGCAGCAG